ATTTTTGATTGGAAATATTTTCCCAAAATTCGTCGTCGTGGCGCAGTAAGTTGCGGGATTAGGTGTCCTGCACTGTATATGATTTATATGTTGTGAAACTAATGCTGATCATTTCGTAAAATTGAATACCTGCTATGTTTGCTAGTTTATATTAGATAATTAATCTGTTTTTTAAAGTATGTAACAATCATACCTTTGTGATGTTCTGCAGAGGGCGAAGCTCTCTGCAGGCCCTCCGCAGGAGTGTTCACTTCCTCATGTGAGGAAGAAAAAAAAAAAAAAAAAAAAAAAAAAGAGCAATATGGAATTGTGAATGTTAATTAATTAACTTATAATAAAATAAATAAGCAATTTACTTTGTGATGATAATTAACAAATTGTTTTATTGGTGGATAATTTTATGAATTTTTCTTTGTTTAAAAATTTTTTTTTTTTGTAAATACATTCATAATAATAAATAAACTATCCTCACAACATAACAACTATCACTAAAAGGCAAGTGTTGGAATGCATGCATTGTGGAATCATTTATTATTACTCTTATATGTCATGGGTCTGTGTGGTTAGCTCCAGTTCCACCTATTAGTATGCGGGATATATATACTTCTAGGGGTCCACTGGATATGCCGTCATGCTTATTAGATGAATATAATTGATTTCCACAGTTTTAATTTTCTTAATATTATTATCAATGATCCGTGGGGTATTATTATATATTTCTGAAGGTTTATCCTTCTGCAGTTTCATTCTGAGACCATAAATATGAGAAGTCCGCATAAGTTGAGCAAGGATGTTTCTGTGAAATATTTATTCCAAGGGTTGATAATTTGTGATTTGTTTTATTACCCTATCTAATAATTATTTGGACTGGCAAACCTTTGATTATTTAGTTAGGTTCACTTATTTATTAACACATGATAGATAATAATAATCTGTTGGCTTTAAATTTTCTGATTATTAATGATGAATAAAGAATAGAAGGGAATGAAAATTAAGACATTATTTTTGCTTAGTCATATGGGTATATGGACTAACTACCCTTCTCTTTTTTTATATATAATTATTTAGATGGTGCATAGAAGAAGATCAATAACAGCTCACAATCATAGATCACAAGCAAGGAACAACATAAATTCTCATATAAATCGTCTTAATTCTTCTCAATATGTATGTATGACATATTCATATTTGTATATATTTGTATTTATATTTACATTATCATATTCAAATATTTTTTTAATTTTAACAGATATATCCTGATATGGAGCGTCTTGATTATTTTGAATCTTAATAGATAGGTTTTTACAAGGAAATAATCCTAATTCTTTAATTTATGTTGAAAGAACATGGGGCAATTACCCTAATGAAATTGTTAGATACCTCTGTCATTATCATCACCATCATCAATGAATAATAAATAAATTTTAATTGTAATAATAACTCTATTATCTTTTTTATTATTTGAAATACTCACAAATGAATATAATATACACCCCATATGATTGTTTTTGTTTCTCTTCATATAAGAGTTAGCAGATGTCTCATAAAACGTTTTAAAACTAAAATCTAAGTCTTATAATTCAAATATACATGATTGGATTATCATTCCCTTTTTGGTAATAATATTTATTTATAAGTCGCGGCCGAAATCCATCTGAACAATTTAGTTGATTATAACTTTCAACAATCCAATTGATGTAACTAAGACCATAAAGTAAAACAATGATAATTTGTTTGTTTAGAGATCCAACCAAACCAAGATTCCAAAATCAAATGTAAACCCGATTTTTATCATCCATTTCAATGCTTCATATTTTATAATCTAAATTCACTGAATTGGGATCTAAAGAAGCAATTAATCAATATAAATACAAGGTGTTTTTACCATGCTATACTAATAAAATAAAAATTCAAAATTTAAAAATTAAAAACTAATAAACATTTCTTACCAAGCATATATTTTTTTTCCCGATTAATATAAAAACACATAAATTACTTTAAAAATGGGTAGACCTGACAGTAGAAAAGTCCAAATTAAAAGAATGGTCCAAGCTAGAGAAAGAAATCGTGTACAAAATAATTTAATGAATACAGACATTGCTTCAGATACAAACTTAAATACCAATGATGATGTGGAAATAAACTTAATTGAAACTGAGTCTGAAGTTGAATCTGAACCTGAATGGAGTTCTTCCGATAACAATGAACCATGGGATGATTTGAGAATGAATAAAGATAATCATGTTGCTCTTATAAGTGAACAGTGGGGAGTGGAGAAGCAAACTACTTCAGTAAAAAACAAGTCTTTTTTGAAAAATTCAATAAGAACACAACAACGACATGCCAAAGCTTTGAAAGATGCTGCTGTTGGATCTTCTAAAATTACTGATTTTTTTAATGTCAAAGCTTCCAGTGGAGAAGATCAACCTGATGAATTGTCAGATGATGGTGATCCTGAATATGGTTGGGAAAATGCGATAAATTCAGTTGAACAAGCTCTTGAATCCCCTAATTTAGCCAATGAACTAAAGTCTAAATTAATGGCGATTGGAATGTATTTCAGACACTTAAGTAATGGTGAAAAAAAGATTGAAGCAAGCGAAATAGTGGCAGTATCTCTAGGGTGGACAAAAAATTATAAAAGTAGATGTATTAGAGCTTGGGCCAATCAATGGATCCAAAATAAAACTATACCTACCTCAAATAGAGGAAAACATCCTAAGATAAAAAGCCTGTGGAAACATGAAGATATTGCTGCACAAATAGGAAGTTATATAAGATCCAATAAACTTGATATAACACCTAAAAAATTGTGTGAGCATGTCAATGATACATTATTGCCTGATATAGAAGTGGAAAATGAAAATAAAAGAATATCCGAAAAAACTGCAAGAAGATGGCTCAAAGGATTGGGTTGGAAATTTGGTACTTACAAAAAAGGGTTGTATAATGATGGTCATGAAAGACCAGATGTTGTGGAATACAGAAATAAATTTTTAAAATTTATGAAAGAGGAATATGAAGCCTACGCCCCAGTATTTGAGGGAGATAATTTGGAGAAAATAGAACTGATCCTATCTTAGAAGATGGTAAAAAGATGAGGATTTTAGTAACACATGATGAATCTGTCTTTTACTCGAATGAAGGTAATAGTAATGGTTGGATGTTGGGGTGTGAGCAGCCTTTAAAAAAAAAAGGTAAAGGTAGAGCATATCATGTCAGCGAATTTTTAACAGAAACCATAGGCCCTTTACATCTCAATGAAGAAGAGCAAATTCAATATCCATACTTACCTAAAAAAAGCTGTGAATTTCTTATAACAGGATCAAATTATGATGGGTGGTGGACAACAGAGAAATTAAAAAATCAAGTAATTGATAAAGCAATACCAATATTTGAAGCCACTCATCAAGATTGCATAGCCCTGTTTGCATTTGATAATGCAACCTCACATGCTGCTTTTGCCGATGATGCTTTAGTTGCATCTAAAATGAATTGGAATGATGGTGGAAGTCAACCAAAGATGAGAGATACTGCATTCAATGGTGCTGAACAAAAGATGGTTTATCCCAACGGAATACAGAAGGGGATGAAAACAATATTGATGGAAAGGGGATTATTTAAGGAAGGATTGAGAAGGGTATGTTCCGAATGTAAAACCAAACCATCAAGAGAGCAAAATGAAAAAGTAGACTGTTGTGGTTTGAAAATTCTGGAGTTGCAGCCAGATTTCAAAGCGCAAAAAGGAATAATTCAAGAAGAAATTGAAAAAAGGGGACATATGGTGATTTTCTATCCTAAATTCCATTGCGAATTCAACTTTATTGAGATGTACTGGGGAGCAACAAAAAGATTCACAAGAGAAAATTGTAATTATACATGGAATGGATTATTAACTACAGTACCTTTGGCCTTAAAATCCGTCCCTCTTTCTACTATCAGAAAATTTGCACGCAGATCCTTCAGGTACATGGATGCATACAGACAAGGATTATCTATGAATGCTGTAGAATATGCTGTAAAGAAATACCGCTCTCATAGAAGAATTCCTACTAGTATATTACATGATCTTCAATCAATTATGAATTAATTAATTGATTAGCTATTTATTTTTATTATCTCTATTTTGTTTATTTATTTATGTATATAACTTACTTTAAAATAAAATTTTCAATTCTTCTAATTTGTTTATTTTTAAAATCATTATTTTGCTGCTATTGTTATCATTGTTATCATCTTTGTTGTTGTTTTACGGAATCAATAATATGTTTTTTTATCATCTACATATTAAAATTTATCAATAAGCTGATTTAAGAGGATTTTATTGAATTTATTAAACCAATTTATTTTTATTTTATCATTAATGATGTAAGAATTTCATTACAGTAATTGACCCAGATATCCATTTCAGATAATACATATTAATATATAAAAGGATATGGTTAAAATTAGATATATAAAAAAAACCGGTTTATTAATGTCATGCAGAATATATATATTATAAAATATATCCCCAAATTATTTTATTATTTGAATATATACATACACTTGTTTTGGAAGCTTCATAATCTATACAACTATTGAATAATTGATGAATGTTCTTTGGAAGCTTCATACATTTGAAATAATGAATTATTACCAAAATAAATGAAAATAAATGAGGAGAGAGGTAATATTAGAATATTAATTATTTATAATGAATGATATATATATATATATGTATGTATTAATATATAAATATTATATAGTTGATGAAACAATTAAAAACATTGAATATATCCAAGTGGAGGATTATGGTGATGATGGAGATAAAGATTATGATGATAAAGAGGATGAAGAAGAGGATGAGGATGGTGAGATTAATATCATAAAAACAGAAATAATACCTAAAAGACCACAACTCATAATTTACCTAGTTGCTGAACTTTTTAAAATTTCATTGTCATGTGTTTTTGAAGAATCAATGAAGAATATTATGCATAAAGAATAGTATCCAATAAAATAAATATGATAGAGCTGTTATGTGACCATCAATCACCTCTTTTCATCATCATTATCTTTCAATTTGTAAGTAGAATCAATTGTCTCTTTTTTTCAATATCAATATCATCATGTGGGCACAGCCAGTAAACACGTAATACCCCACTTTAAGTAAAGAAGACTTGCCTTGTTGCATATTGAATTTTTCTTTTTTGTTGTGGTGAAAGTATCTAAAAATAAGAAAATGAAAAAAAGATTTTCATTAGCCAAATAATTGACTAAGCAAAGCTACCTTGAGTAAAACAGGCATAAGCCAACACATGAGCCATCTTGAGTGGGATCACTCCTCCAAAGAAGGGCAGCCAGTAAAAAGTTCCACCCACTTTATTAATTTTCGAAAAAAATAATAATTCACTGGACTTTCAATGACTATGAACTAACACATTGGCCTGAACTCAGTGGGGTAAACTGCTACAGTTGTATAATAGGACGATCTGAATGGCCCAGTAATAAGTTCCACCCACTTTACTTTACTGAACTTTTAGTAATACTTGCCTTGCATAGTGTGGTCATGCATCCAAAAAAAAATAGTATATACATCCTTGTTCATTTTTGACAATCCCAAAATATTAATGGGAGAAAAACAAATGAATAAAAATAGAACATAACTAAAATGGAAACTCTTACTAAACTAGTACTAGTACTAGTTTTAAAACAAGTAATTCCCCAATTCAAAACTGACACTTTGAGATTAATACTAAGTTTCATTAATAGTTATTATTATTACTTGAGTAATCTTTAACACTTGCTTTAATCAACCCGCCTATATATAGCTATTAATTAATTATTCATTTATTTTTTGTTTAATAAATATAATAAATATAGATACAGTGTGGAACATTCAATTCCGGAAAATTTTTGTGGAAACTAAAATTTGCACAGCTTAACCAAATTAAGCTTAATTTATATATTTTAAAATGAAAAATAAAGATGAGGTATGTGATAGTGTTGGTCGCCAAAACTATTTTGAAGAGGTGAAAGTCAAAACTAAAATTAAAAGTTATATGTCAAAACTAAATCAAAAGTCAATAGTCAAAAATCAAAACTAGTTTCGACTTATGGCGAAACCTTTTGACTTTCGCACGGTTGCGAAACTCTCGAGTTTTGGAAACCAACACTAGTATGTGACTAAACTGTGATACATTTTTGTAACACTAACACTTTGAAAATTTTTTTTTTCACTAATAGCAAAGCAATGACCGCCAGAAAAGAAACCCAACGCCAAACAATAGAATTTTATTGGAATAAAGGCATCCAAAACGCCAAAGAAATTTGCAAAAGAACAGGAATAGCCTCCTCTACCGTCTATGATAATATAAAAAATTTAAAAAAGACTGGTACTACAAAATGTGCTAGTGGTAATATTCAACCCTGGAAAATGTCAAATAGTGCATTACGTCATTTAAGGAAATACATTTGCCAGGATTCTTCACTTTCAACTAGGACATTGGCCACAAAACTGTCTCAAACGGGTGTGGAGATATCACATGTTACTGTAGGAAGGCACTTGGCTAATATGGGGTATGAAAAAAATCTTCCTACTGCAACCCCGATGCTTACCACTGCTCATAAAGAAAAACGGGTAGAATGGGCAAATAAACATCTCAATGACAATTGGGAAAGGACTTTGTTTACAGATGAGACTGCCTTTCAGCTCTTCCGAAACACAGTAGAACATTGGCATAAAAAAGGAGAACGGCCCATTCGTCGCATTCCTAAAGATCGTACAAAGATTTTTGCTTGGGGTGGATTTTACAAAAATGGAAAAACAAGTTTATTTTGTTTTTCACAGATTATGGATGCTCAATTTTATGTGAATATCCTTCATGACCATATTCCTGAGGTTAAAAAGGTTTTGGGGAGTAGATGGCGGTTCCAGCAAGACAATGACCCAAAACATACAAGTAAACTTGCTAAAGAATTTCTTGCTGAGAATGTGCCACAAGTTATGGACTGGCCTTCCAATAGTCCTGACTTGAATCCAATTGAAAACCTTTGGAGTATTGTTAAGACTAATGTTGAGAAATGGATGCCAAAAGACCAGACTGAATTAAAAAAATTTATGAAGGAGGAATGGGAAAAAATTCCAAATTCCACTCTTAGTAATTTAGTGGATTCTATGAAAAGGCGTTGTGAACTTGTAATTGAAAAAAATGGGGAACGCATCCCTTATTAAAAAAAATTATAATAATAAAGAATTTACATTTGTTTTCCAACTTTCATATATTAAAATTACACGTGATTTTGATCATTGGTTGTGAAGTAATGAATAATTTTTTAATTCCGGAATTGAATGTTCCACACTGTACATTGTAAAAACTGAGGTTTTGTTATACTCTAATAAATATTCATATATTAATATTAATATATAAATCCAGAATTGCTAATTTTATTTATTATAAGTTAATTAATTAACATTCACAATTCCATATTGCTCTTTCTTTTTTTTTTTCTTCCCCATGTGGGGAAGTGCATGCTCCTGGAGAGAGCTTTGCCCTCTGCAGAACATCACAAAGGTATGATTGTTGCATGCTTTAAAAACAGATTAATTATCTAATATAAACTTATTATCTTGATCTATATACATATAATTAAAATCAATTTTTGACAATCTTCATAAACATGTGACTGTAAAAATTTTATTGCATTTTTGATTGGGAATTTTTTCCCAAATCTGTTGCTGTGGCACAGAAAGCTGTAGGGACTAGGTGTCCTGCACTATACATGACTTATTTTAATATTTTTTAAAAAAATTTGAATAGACAAATAAAAAAAAAAATAATCATATGGCATTTGCTCTCAACCAAACATCTTGACTATTTTGTGGAAAACTACATCATTTGATTTTTACAATGTAAATAAAGATATATACTTATTAATATATAAGATTAGAAAACATGTTTTTACCAATTAGTGCCTCAAATTAACAATCTAAACCAATTAATTGTTTACAATTGAAAAAAGTTTTTTTGCTTTATAGTAATAATCTAATGCTATGTACAATAATCATCAGGAAAATGGGTACAAATATTATGCATATATAATACGCAATTGCAGGGATTAAGCATATAATATATGTACAAT